CGATATAGAAGGAGGTAGTCAGCCACCCTCTTATATGGAATCTATAAATGAGGAAAGTTAAAAAGTAATAAATTTTACCCGAATGTTTGGTTATATTTTTTTGTTATATGAATAAAAATTCCGAGTTAATAAAAATCACATGCCTGAAAAATCGATTGCGTAACACAGATGTTTGATCAACATATATCACAGAATAAATTAGAATGTCATGGAACTTTTCATGCATGATGTAATCGTATGACCTTCTGACTATATAACACAAAAAACCAGATTTGAATATTTTCTTTGTAAAAAACGCTTTCAGAAAGAAAAAAAATGCAGATTCTTTTAGGAGAGTATAGTTTTTGTCTTCGTACATATTGTTTTTTATCCCAATTTCATATTTGCTAAACTTCGTACAGAAATGGAGCAGGATTATAAATACCTCGGTTGGAAGGATTTTGGTGTTGACTATTTGGAGAATAATTGTGACAAAGTCAGAAAAGTACGCTTCGCTTCATGGTTCGGCTATACAATTAACGCAAATAGCGGGCGATATGGTTCTATGAGCGACACGTTTCAAATATATAAGCTGGCTTGCGAGAAAGCTTTACGTCGCTCTGCCAAATCTAGTAGCATTCTACGAGATGCTTATGAAGGATTTTCTAAGGTTCCCGACGTATGTATTGTTTTTTTTTACCCATCCATAATATTTTATATGATGACATTCCGTCTATTCTGAGAACCAATTTCACACCACCTCCTCACACCTGAGATTTGGGCCCTGATGGTCGTTCGTGGTGTAGTGTATGAAGAAATCGGAGATCTGATTAAATAAGAGTGTTGAATAATAAGCAGAATATAGAATTTTTGTATATTGACTCCTCTATTTTTATAGAACAAGCAGAGAACGCAATATATATCAACGGTAGAGGCTATGGAATCAATGGTTGACCTAAACTACTATAATTTCGTTTTAGAAAAGCTTATTACCGGCACTAACATATTTTATACGTTTCAGGTTTCTCTTAAATTCGTAAGCCCAACAGAGGAGAATCCTGTCTTTTCAAACAAGAAAAAAATTGGGAAACGATTGGTAACGCACTCATATTGTGGGTGGTTATTTTTTTTTTTTGCTTGTTCTTACTCGATACTTCTGTAGAATGATTTATTCCAAGATGAGACGTCCCGTTCGTTGCTATTATATGAGTTGAGGAACCTCTTTGAATCCTTTGACGCCAGCAATATTGAATGGAACGATCCACTCAGCTTTGGTTGCATTGTTGATCGAAATTCAGACATAATTTTTGGAAAGTTGCCAGAAGAGCGAAAGAAGAATTTGAGAGAAATCATAAATTTGGCATATGATCAATACGAAACAAGCCCCGTTATTTCCGAATTGGTTAAAGTCCTTTTAGAAAAATCAAAGAGCTTGAATAAAAGGGAAATGATGGTTTCACTCCCACCTATACCAGCAGATTTCCAAGGAAATGATGAGGAATTTGAAGACATATGCGTGATGCATAGGATCATAGACTCAGTGTAGGTAATTGAGCTTCTCCGTCTTGATAATTAACCAATTTCTAATACTCTTATTCTTATAGCCGACATATCTGGTGCTACTTTAACGATGAAAACAAGGCTGAATACACTGAGGGGACATATATCGTCCGCATAGTATCCAACTTTCTTGATCCACTGTTTTGTTATGAAAATACAAACTTAAAATTATCTGGTAAAGTTTTAGATAATGTGTAAAAAATATGAATTTTTACCAGAGGCGGTCACATAATGACTATAACAAGTTTTACATACATCATAACAGGGCTGAAGAAGTCTCGGAGGCATCTCAACGTCGGATGGATGATTCTGGAGAAATCAGAGTTGGACACAAACCCGATTTTCGTGTGAAGTCTCCACTGATTGCTGGTGAAGTGGAAATCTGTCTCATGGAGGCATCACATGTTCTCCCAACCGATAAAAAGATTCGTGATGATTGGGATAAGTTGATCAAGCTTATGAAAGATGCTCATGTGCGATTACTGAGGAAGCTCACTAGAGGGAGGGTTGGGGACGTGAAGGAAATAGAAGAAGATCTTAACAGGGTGCCAGTTTTTGGTATCCAAGTTGCTGGTATGTAATAACACAATTATTTTTTTTCACTCAAAACTAACCATTTCTACTTTAGGAGGAACCATGGCATGTTGGGTTATGACTATGCCATTTGGAGCCTTTTACTTTGTTCAACGTCTTGGTTCAGTGCAAATTCCTATGAATCGAGGCCAATCTTCACTTGCCGGATTTATGGATGAATTATGGAAGTTAAGGGTAAGGCTATCATCTTTTTACAGAATGCGGGAAGTTGGATAAACAAACTCCTGGTTAATTAATAGAATTATTTGTAGGCGTCTCTACGAAACCATATTCGCACCCTTAATGAGATTGTAGAAAAAGTTGATGCGTCTTTATATAACATAGCTTTTTGTTCACCACAAGCTCGGGAAGATATGCCCCTTTACGATGGAGAGTTAGTAACGCCACGATCGCCATAACAAGAGCTCGCCGATCCGGGTATTAAAAAAGACAGTGCTCCTCTACCATTAAATTTTCACCTAATAATAGGTAAGTATAGAGATATTGTATAAATTATCATGTATTTTTATTGTATCGACCATACTGGCTTTGCTAATAAAGAATTCGAGTTGAGAATATTATATATTATGTCAATATTTTCATACGGTGTATCTTGTATTGGGATAAAAAAGTTTATATGTCGATTTTTCTTAATGTGTTTTACTCTGATGCATATTTTTTCCAGATAATACGAAACCCAAATCCTAATTATCTCGTGTTATTTTTCGGACACATGATAGAGTATTAAGTCGTACATCCCCATATAGTAAGACCAGGAAATTAATTATATGCTTGTAGTACATCTCGAAATAGATTTCACCCCGAAATAGATCATGCAATGATTTTCCCAGATATAGAACGACGCATTATCAGTTGCCTCATCATGATTGGGTAATCGCCATATATATACCCCTACCGATTATCTGCGATTGGTTACCTTCACTCCCACGCTTCTTTTTTTCTGCGAAAGTAATACTATTCTTCTTGAGTAGGACTCGGCTCTAGGGTTATTTGACCTTAACGGCTCGTCGAATAGTGTTGCTTTTGATTTCTCTGCCAATTAGTAATACACCGCTTTTCATTCCTATATTAGTATGTCACAAGAGAAAACACCTAAGAAATTGTCACGTAGTGCTCGCTATAATAAAAAACGTAAGCTTCGTAAGGAACAAAAATCAGGCTCTATGGGACGCTCTTCGAGTACTTTACCAGCAGATCAAAATGAGCATACACCAACCATGCCGTTGTCAATAAGCGATATTCTTCCCGAAATAAGACTCGTCTCACCGTGCATTATTTTCGACCCAAACCGAGTATATATTGTTATATTGTTTTTTATTAGACTATCCCTCGTGTCAGGTTTTCTTTGTGTTTTTGCTTTGCAAATGATCGGTCATTCTTCTCCAAACAATTATTGGGTATACCCAGTTAGAAGCGATAGAGCCTCTGACTTCGTATATCTGTGGTTCAATAGACACGTAGTTATTATCTTAATTTGTTTTGGGTGGTTTGTTCAATCCGCAAAAGAAAAATATGGTTAAAGGGATCAATCTAGTGTTAAATGGCCATCTTTTGTCATTATTAATCTTATGGATATTCCATTGCAATTAGCATCGGACCCAATTGGGGACCTGCGGATTAAGCATAGAAGACAAAATATTCTATATCGAGAAAGAATGGAAGAGTGTCGCCCTTACCCCATCAAATTGCGTAGCGTCAAAAGGAGTTAAAAGTCGAGAAAAAATTTCAACTGAGGAATTGTTAATAGAAATATTAATCCGAGAATCTAGATTTATAAATAATATTGAGCAATCGGAGATCCCACCTGATTTTCTAGCGCTTATCGACGATGAAATAATCAAAGGTAATCATATTAGTAAAGTGAATTATCGAACTGAGAATCTGAATGAAGATTTATGGCTCTCTCTCGGTCGATGGCTGGGGATGGAAGAACCACTGACAAGAAGGGAAGTACGACAACATCTTCGGCGTAAATGGAAAAAAATCAGTCATGCGATGGAGCTTCGAAATAATATTGTTGGATCGCAAGATCAGTCGGGGACTCTGGGTTCTATTCATTTTCTGAGTAAAACAACCGAACGTATCTCTCGAAAGACAAAAGCTCAACTCATAATTTCTACCAGGGAAAATTTCAGTTCGTTAAAAGAATTGGTGGGGTTCCGATATATTGTCGATCCGGAATGCGTCACTGATATGAATGGTCGATCTTTAATACATCTCGAGAAGCTCAATGATCCAAATGCCGTCTCAAAAGCCACCGATGCTGTAAATCGTTATTATTATATTAACAAACATGGACGAAAACAATTCCTCGATAAACAAAATTTATAACTAATGTAACAAATAACGGCAGTGATAATTATCCAGTAAAATGAATTATTGATTTTTGTTATAGAAGAAAATTTGAAATTTTCTCTCTTTCCCTCCCAATTATAGAAAGAATAACTTTATAAATAAATTTCATATCGATATGATACAGTCATGGACAAAAGTAATTGCATGGTCCTAATTCAGCAGGAGACCGATGCATATCTTGATCTTCCATACCTAGAATAGGTTTCTATTATTTTTTGTTTTGTGTTTCAACATTTCTGACCATTCAACCTTCTGCCTCAAAAAGTGTCATTGCCATACTATCAATGATATCGATATAAAATTATATTTTAGCTCATTTCAAATGGGATACGAGGTTATTAAAGAAACAAAAAAAACTTATTTTTGAAGAAAAGAATCTAAAGAGGTGTAATCATTTTCTTCGTGACTGTAAATATACAACGATTTTTGGTCATTGCACATGTATTAATTTATTAATGAACGATTAAATTTCAATTCATAAAATATGTAGTACATGTACGTACGTACATGTATATGTACTGTTCAATCCACATACGTATCGATATCGTTATCGACGAGTTTAGAGATCATACGTACATGTACATGTATTATTGTGCTATGGAATACATGTACGTACATGTGCGTGCGTATCGGTATTTAACGTTAAACAGTTTTTTTTAACTACGTACGTAACGCTAAAGATACTAAATAATAAACCACAATGTCAAATGGAAATGCAAAAATCCAACTACATGTATCTTCATTTAACGGAAATGAATGGATAGAATCTGCAATTAGAGAAAATCAAATAAAATTTTTCGATTTTAGGGAATTTTCCAATAGAGAAGTCATTGGGTTTGGCGCGTTTGGTGAAGTTTATAGAGCAGAAGTGAAAAACGAAGATCTGAATGTAGCTTTAAAATGTCTTTATCTAAGAGACGAGAGACACGCCAAAGAAACCAATAAGAAATTTATCAAAGAGGTATTTATCATATTTAGAAGAAACTAATAACTAATGACTAATAAAAATTCACGTTTATAATATTTTCTTAGTTAAAAATTCTTATTAATCTTAACCATAACAAAAACATAATTCGCTTTTACGGAATTACTAAAGGTAAATTATATGTAGTTGTATCTTCATAATTGAATAATTTTCTCAAATGACTTTTAACTTAGATTTACATGCTAAAAAATACATGATTGTTATGAAGTATGCCAATGGTGGAACTCTTAAAGATTATTTATATACAAATTTTTTTAACTTGACTGGTAATGACAAGTTAAACTTAGCCAAGCAACTTGTACAAGGATTAAGAAGCATACATAACGCGGATATAATTCATCGTGATTTGGTAAGGTATAGCATGTGATGAATATTAAATAAATACCTATACTAAATAAAAAAAATTTTGGATGTCAGAATCATAATAATATTCTCATCCACAAGGGAAAAATTAAAATTGCGGATTTAGGATATTCGAAACTTTCGAACGAAGATTCAAATTCGAAAACTAATTGCGGAGTATTAAGTTATATTGATCCCGCATTCTTGAGAGATATGGATAATTATCTACGCAACAAAAAATCAGATATTTACAGTCTAGGTGTTTTGTTTTGGGTTATTTCTAGCGGCCGTATTCCAAATCAGTATTCATTTGCCTCAAGTTCATCCAACGAAAAAGAAAAACCGATTCACGGAACTCCTGATAAATATATTGAATTATATCGAGCATGTTGGGACAATTTACCTGAAAATCGACCAGATATTCATGAAATAAATCAACAACTTAATGAACTCGAGTGGCCGCCAAAATCAAACGAAGAGGTGTTTCAAGATTTACTAAATCTAGATGAAAATTTTGCCGCCGAAGATGAAAACAAAAAAATTTACTGCAAAATTATTGACGAATTGGTAACTCTATTAAATAATCTACTCAGCAAAGAAAAGAATTTAGATAAAATAGGTGCCGAATTACAATCGTATTACGACAAGCTATACAGTCATCATTCTTTTGAAATTCAGGACTATTCGGAAAATAATGCACAATATAAGATACTTTTAGGAATTCTTTATCAAACTGGATTCATAGTTGAAAAGAATGCTGCATTAGCATTAAGCATTTATGCAGAGTTATCAAATAATAACAACAATTTAGCCCGATTCTTTCTAGGATTTGCTTATCAAAATGGAATTGGAACACAAAAAGATGAGAAAAAAGCATTTGAGTGGTATTTGAAATCAGCAGAGGGTGGTGATGCTAGTGGACAATT